ATATGCGTTGTAATATTTGGATCGAGACTATATCCCATATTTGGTTATCACGTGACCTCACGGGAAAAGATGTTTTTTAAAACAAAAGATTTTTCAAAAACAAGACAGATAATGTAATCACAAATACTAAAATATCGTTGATTTTTTAACATCCATTGCACCATACTTGACACTGCCAGCTGTAAATCGTCAGTGTGCCAGGTATTTGACAATCCTGTCCCTTAAAAAGATGGCTTACGCACCACAGATAAGAGCACATACAAGTATCGTGATACGTTTGGATTGTGAACAAGACATCATGATACGTATTGGATCGCACAGTTGGTGTATCGACCCATCCCTAATATCCTGTAAGCTGTCTCCGGTATGTAAACTGTCAACATTTGGTACAAGCAGGGATGGGTACTGGAGGTTTAAAGTGGATCACAATATTTTGCAATACACAAGGCCATATTGAGATATGTGTCACGATATACTGTATAATTCTAAATTAATTTAATTCAGAAGCAATCTGATACATTAAGGTATGAACTAAGTTCATAAACGGAACAAAACAAGATGCTGGTACAACATAATATTTACTCATTAAAAAAATAAGCAGCCATCTTGGGGCCCAGGATGCTTGCACCTTGGCAGCGAAGGCATTTGGCAAGTATTTAACATTAAACACATGATAAAAATCCAAATTTGAAATCACTCGATATATCGAACATGAAAAAATGATATTGTGATATGTATCGAGGAAAGAATGAACCTCAATTTACCGATATACTGGTAATATTTCCCACCCTTACTATTTAGGATCTTACATCTAGCAAAAGGGAAACTATCTATCAGGACGAGAAAAATGGCACATTTCTACTGGTCCTTATGATACCTTAACTATGGGGCAGTTTTACAAAACATTTTGTATGGAATGATTGTTGAGCTATATCTTGTTACGGCATCAATAAGTCATAATCGGTAAATACAATGTTTCATAGGTGTTTGCAATGATCTGTTCTGTTTTGAAAGTGCCAGTGAGAACCACTCAGCTTTGTGGTCAGAAATAATACAGTAGACCCATACTGTCGAATGATTCAATATACTGTCTTTTGGCTGCCAGTGTACTTGTCATAAGCTCCTAAGACAGACGTGACCTTGTCTTAATTTTTATCCAAAACTTAAAATAACTTAGTTCAGTGTCTGAAACTCAGCAGAGGAAACTGAGAGCCTTAATGGCCAGCACATTTAAAAAACTGTAGGCCAAGTCAAAAAACTGTAGGCCCAAACATTTTAGATGAAGCAGGGAGATATACTCTTGCAATATAAAATACAAAACATAACCAGTCAACCAGAAGCTTTTACTGCTATCACACCTAGTCCCCAGACACTCTGTAGTGATAGATGAAGCCTACATTTTATCAAGGAAATTATCACCTTGGAAAAGATCTTTGCTAGACATGTCATACACCATTTGGATGGTCTTATCCTACTGTTTATTAATATAAAAGTTATGTTATCACATTACTTAAATAATGCTTAACAAATAATTACTTAAATAACCTGCTAAGGTCTGCTGAAATTTAAACCTCTCAGCCCGAGAACAAGATTGTTTGCCTCGGGCCTACGGGCCGATGTCTATTTCTAACACTGACTTGGTTTCATTAGCGCTAAGACGGCTTCATGAATAGGCCGCCTAGGGAGTCGGTAATGACTTTGGGGACCCAGACATGATATAATGGATCCCAGGGTAACCATGGTAACTATTTGATACGGTTGCAACCTTTGACTTTCCCGATATCTGTTATTCAGTGTTCTCTCAGACATTGTATGAATAAAAACATTGTATAGTGTTGCTAAAATGTACACACAAAAATGTGATCCAACCTTTTCAAAATGTATTGAAACTTGCAAGTGTAGTTAGTGGGTTCCTGACGTTTATAGGGGCGGTCAGGTAGCTTAGTGGTTCAAGCGTTCACCTACCACGCCGAAGACCCGGGTTCAATTCCCGACATGGGTACAATGTGTGAAGCCTATTTCTTGTGTCCCCCGCCGTGATATTGCTGGAATATTGCTAAAAGCGGCGTAAAACCAAACTCACTCACTCACTCTTGACGTTTCTGTAACATGTTTTGCAATATAATGAATTTGACCTTGATTCAACATTTAAAGCATAATCATGACAATAGTTGGTGTCGGCAGAGTTATAATGCTGTCATGGTTAATAAGAATCATTGTAGTTGCACAGTTTGAAGACCGTATCTTTGACACCACTGGAAACAAGCCTGCCACCATTATCTGCATGCAATGAGACCTGACAAAAAGTAGGCTTTTGCAGTTGATTGCCATGAAAAACCAAACTTGACTTAAAGAAAACTATCAAGCAACATTGGGAGAGGCTGTCGCTATGATAGTCTGAGCAAAGTTTAACCATCCTACACATTTTGATATAGGAAAAATACCAACACAAGTTGAAGCAGACGTGAACTGTCCATGACGACAGATCTGTGTTTTTGACAGTTTGACTAGTTTGTCAGTTACCCCTTGGCTGGTCCTCTCCTTCCGTTGTCATGGCAAGCACTTCAAAGAGCAGTCTCTGTTTGTGTGACAGACTATTTCAGTGCTTCATGACCATGTGACACCCAGTAACCCTGAGACACTGACCTTTGCAGTTGAAATAGCTTTGACCTTTAAGCATGCTCTTTGGTATTGTCTCCTAATGCTGACTGACAAAGCTGAAGTTTGGCATGCAATTTCCTCCTTATGAAGACATTCTATTTTTTTTCAAACGATGTGTGTAAACATATTTAAAAAATCCAATTTTACAGCAAAATATGATTTTGTTCAGAACCACAGAGCACAGGGCTTAAACTTTGTGTGATGGTAAGGACCATAAGAAGATCCATGTCTGTTCATGATGTCACTGTCTGCCCTCGTGGGGGCGGGGTAGCCTTGTGATTAAAGCATTTGCTCGTGTTCTGTGTTCCACCCCACTGCCACTGTATTAACCCCCACTGCCACTGTATTAACCCCTACTGCCACTGTATTAACCCCTAATGCTACTGTGTTAACCCCTACTGCCACTGTATTAACCCCTACTGCCACTGTATTAACCCCTACTGCCACTGTGTTAACCCCTACTGCCACTGTGTTAACTGCTACTGTGTTAACCCCTACTGCTACTGTGTTAACCCCTACTTCTGCAGTGTTAACCCTTACTGCCACTGTATTAACCCCTACTGCCACTGTGTTAACCCCTACTGCTACAGTGTTAACCCCTACTGCTACTGTATAAACCCCTACTGCTGCAGTGTTAACCCCTACTGCCACTGTATTAACCCCTATTGCCACTGTGTTAACCCCTACTGCCACTGTGTTAACCCCTACTGCTACTGTGTTAACCCCTACTGCTGCAGTGTTAACCCCTACTGCCACTGTATTAACCCCCTACTGCCACTGTGTTAAGCCCTACTGCTACTGTGTTAACCCCTACTGCTGCAGTGTTAACCCCTACTGCTACTGTGTTAACCCCTACTTCTGCAGTGTTAACCCCTACTGCCACTGTATTAACCCCTATTGCCACTCTGTTAACCCCTACTGCCACTGTGTTAACCCCTACTCCTACTGTGTTAACCCCTACTGCTGCAGTGTTAACCCCTACTGCCACTGTATTAACCCCTACTGCCACTGTGTTCACCCCTACTGCCACTGTATTAACCCCTACTGCCACTGTGTTAAGCCCTACTGCTACTGTGTTAACCTCTACTGCCACTGTATTAACCCCTACTGCCACTGTGTTAACCCCTACTGCTACTGTGTTAACCCCTACTGCTGCAGTGTTAACCCCTACTGCCACTGTATTAACCCCTACTGCTACTGTGTTAACCCCTACTTCTGCAGTGTTAACCCCTACTGCCACTGTATTAACCCCTACTGCCACTGTGTTAACCCCTACTGCCACTGTGTTAACCCCTACTGCTACTGTGTTAACCCCTACTGCTGCAGTGTTAACCACTACTGCCACTGTATTAACCCCTACTGCCACTGTTTTCACCCCTACTGCCAATGTATTAACCCCTACTGCCACTGTATTAACCCCTACTGCCACTGTGTTAACCCCTACTGCCACTGTGTTAACCCCTACTGCCACTGTATTAACCCCTACTGCTACTGTGTTAACCCCACTGTTACTGTGTTAACCCCTACTGTCACTGTATTAACCCCTACTGCCACTGTGTTAACCCCTACTGCCACTGTGTTAAACCCTACTGCTATTGTGTTAATCCCTACTGCTACTGTGTTAACCCCTGCTGCTACAGTGTTAAACCCTACTGCCACTGTGTTAAACCCTACTGCTATTGTGTTAATTCCTACTGCAACTGTAGTAACCCCTGCTGCTACTGTGTTAATCTCTACTGTCACTGTGTTAACCCCTACTGCTACTGTGTTAAACCCTACTGCTATTGTGTTAAACCCTACTGCTATTGTGTTAATCCCTACTGCTACAGTGTTAACCCCTACTGCTACTGTGTTAAACCCTACTGCTATTGTGTTAAACCCTACTGCTACAGTGTTAACCCCTACTGCCACTGTGTTAACCCCTACTGCCACTGTGTTAACCCCTACTTCTACTGTGTTAACCCTACTGCTACTGTGTTAACTGCTACTGTGTTAAACCCTACTGCTGCTGTGTTAACCCCTACTCTACGGTGTTAAGCCCTTCTGCTACTGTATTAAACCCTACTGCTACTGTGTTAACCCCTACTGCCACTGTGTTAACCCCTACTTCTACTGTGTTAAACCCTACTGCTACTGTGTTGACCCATACTGCTAATGTGTTTAAACCCTACAGCTATTTTGTTAAACCCTGCTTCTACTCTGTCATCCCTACTGCTACAGTGTTAAACCCTACTGCTGCTGTGTTAACCCCTACTGCTATTGTGTTAAACCCTGCTGCTACTGTTAACCCCTACCGCTACTGTGTTAACCCTTACTCCTCCTACTGTGTGATGTTGCAGGTACTTCTGTCAGCTGATGGAGGGTCTGGAGTACCTGCACAGTCAGGGCATCATACACAAGGACATCAAACCAGGAAACCTGCTGCTCACCACTGATGAAACTCTGAAGATCACAGACCTGGGCGTGGCAGAGGTGAGATGCACATTAATGACATACCTATTTGCTGTGTTGGTAACAGAATGACATAATTCAGACTTGTTGCACAAACCTGAAATTTTAGATGAATTATCTTGAATTTGTCAGATAGACCTTTGATTAGACCATTTATATGGGATATGATCACATTGTATGAACATTGACGATTACTCAACAAGGAAAGATAAGGCAAGAGTAAATATTTAAATGATGGCTTCATATTGGCTTGTGACAAACAGCATCTTATTTAATACATGTCATGTGTTTGTTCTTTTCATAAACATATATATAAAGCAATCACAAAAAGGAAGAATTGTCAAAAATACCTGGGTCCACACCTGATTCCCGGATGCAGTGGCTGCCAGATTACAGAAGATGTAGCACACAGTAAAGTTGATATTCTTCGTTGACCCTTTGTGATACATTGTCTAAAGATTTAATTTTCCATTGCAGAAATTAGATGTATTTTCCCAAGATGATACTTGCAAGACAAGTCAAGGTTCGCCAGCATTCCAACCCCCAGAGATAGCTAATGGTGATGATTCCTTTGCTGGCTTCAAGGTGGATGTGTGGTCCTCAGGGGTAACATTGTAAGTTGAACAGTAGTATGCTGGAGCCTCACTGATGTACCCTGTGAGGAGTCCAGGTTAGAAAAGGTCCCCAGCAACCTGTACTGGTCGTCAGAGGTGACCGACCAGTGTCTGAAATAACTACCTGCCCGTGGCTGGTAACTTTTCTGTCGGGCAAGATGAAATTGTCCCCCACCTGCCCGAATTTCTGGCAGATAATTTTAAGACTATTTATATATTCAGTTTTAGCTTAACTCCTTGTAGATTCTCAAGTAATTGTTTGCATTATTTCAACTGAATCAAGATGTAATTTGTCTCTTGTTTTTTTCCGAATTTTCAATATTTATGATGTCTGAACGCGGGCAGGTAACTTTGAAGATGAGCAGGCAACATTTATGAGTCACCTGCCCTACTGTCTTTTGGGGTTTTAAAATAATTCAAACACTGTGACCAACTGGATCTCGGGAGGTCAAAATCAGTGACTTGGTTGATAGCGTGTCATTGTGCCCAGATGGTGTGGCTATTTGCTTACAATATCAATAACTGGATTGCCAGGCCTAGACTTGCTTATTTACACGCTGCCGTTGTATGGCTGGAATATTGCTGAGTGAAGCATTAAATGCAGCAAACAAACCATGACTGATGCCTTGGTAATATTGGAACAATAGGCTCCATCTTCATTTTTTTCCTGCTGCCTCGATGTGGCTGAAATGTTGTTGACTGCCGCGTAAAACAACAATCCCTCACTCATTCTGCGCCTCCATGGTCTAGTGGTAGAGCATCCGCCCAGAGAGTGGAAGGTTTGGGGTCGATCCCTGGCCGCATCATACCAAAAGATGTTAAAAGATAGTACTTGTTGTTACCCTGCCTGGTGCTTCGCATTAAGGGGCTAAAACAAGGAATGGTCAGCTCTGAGTCAGTATACTGTGTCTGAGTGGGGTATCCACGTTGAACTGAGGCATGGTATCTCGGTGGGCTAGCACTATAAAAACTATAAAATCGGCAGGCACACACACACACACCTCATTCTTGTTTAAAGGTTATCATTAAATGCAAACATAATAAATCTGTTTTCTTGTCTTTGTCCGGAAGGATGTTCACTTTCTTGTTGTTTCTTCTTTCAGGTACAACATAACAACAGGATTATATCCATTTGAAGGTGACAATATCTATAAACTGTTCGAGAATATTGGTAAAGGCCAGTTCACAGTTCCTGACACCGTAGACGAGAGTTTAAAGGAACTCCTCAATGGTAGGTGCTTGTGTTTATATGTTACGTCAGACTAATGTCCGATTTGTTATTATTCAGATTTGTCGGCTCTATGTTTAGCGAAAGCTTAACAATTAATATATGGAATTGTTGATTGGAACAATCATTTGCTAGAAAAGCATTTTTTTCATTCTTGTTTTAAATGACTTGTCAAAATAGCTGTTGAATCCAAGAACACTTGTGTGAGTAAACATCTGTGGTCCAAGGGAAGTAACTGTGAGGTGAGAGATGGTGATGCAACTTCCCAAATAAACTAATGGCAGCAACATCCATGAAGATCTGGATTAGAATAAGTCTTCAGCAACCCATGATTGCCGTAAAAGGCGACTATGCTTGTCGTAAGAGGCGACTAAGGGATCAGGTGGACAGACTCACTGTCTTGGTTGATGCATGTCATCGATCCCAACTGCGTGGATCGATGCACATGATGTCACTGGATTGTCTGGTCCAGAGTCGATTATTTACAGATTGACGTCATATAGTTGGAATATTGCTGAGTGCGGCGTTAAACAACAAACAAGCGAACAAACAAACAAGTGGTAGCGAATAGGCTTGAGGTGTTTATCATTACTGAATGGCAATAATCTGACCATGGCGATAATTAAGAATACAAAAGGTTATCCAGTACACTTCACAAAAGTTGGCAACAGAGCAAATAAATTTAAATATTAAATTTGTCATTGCATGCTGGACTAGTGATAAGCATGATGAGGCGTGAAGGTCCCTACAACCAGCCATACCCCTGCTCGTGGCTTTCAGCAAGTGTTTTAGAATCATGGCCGAGGTCACTTTCCTCTCACATTAGGCTGACATGCCATCATGTAACCTGATCACTGAAATACTCTGAGCCCTCCTCACTTTCTGAGGGGTCAGGGGTGGCCCAGTCGTCTTAGGCACTGCGATTCTCTAGGCAGAGTTGCGTCCCCTGGCCACGCCAGAAACCTATGATTGTGGGTTCGAATCCCTGTTTGCTCCAATTATGTTTCTAGGTTTGTCAGCACCATACCCATGCTCATGGGTTTCACCGAAGTGGTAAACATCTGAGACCTGCATCACTTCGGGCTTTCCTCCCACATTAGGCTGACATGCCATGGTATAACTGGAATACTGTTAAAAGCGGCATTAAACCAAACTCACTCACTCCTCACTTTTTGTCCTGTTCAAATTTATTTTGTAAGAGAGTATAGAGAAGTTCATCAGTACCATGATGTGTGTCTGTCATGTTCAGTGACAAATGTGGCAGTGGTAGCTTGTTGTAGGTCAGTGTGTGGGCAATTGTGCTACTTGAAGACTCATGCATTCATTTCATTCTGTTGCAGGAATGTTGGCGTACAAAGCGAGTGATCGCTTCAGTATAGCACAGATCAGGCAACACCAGTAAGTTGAGACCTGCAGTAACTGAACAGTGGCCAGAGAGCTATATCCCTTCTTTATCCTTCCTATTGACCAATGAGATTCCACCACTCATATAAGGCACCGCGATTCGCTGTGCAGAGTTGCGTCTCTTGGCCACGCCAGAAACCTATGATTGTAGGTTCGAATCCCGGTTCCCCCCGATTATGTTTCTAGGTTTGTCAGCACCATATCCGTGCACGAGGGTTGCACCGAAGTGGTAAACGTCTGAGATCTGCATCACTTGGGGCTTTCCTCCCACATGAAGCTGACACGCCATGATATAACTGGAATACTGTTAAAAGCGGCGTAAAACCCAACTCGCTCACTCACTCACTCACTCACTCACTCACTCACTCACTCACTCACTCCACTCATATCACATGCATTTGCTTCAAACAAAATGGTGTCGCCCAGTGAATACGATCTGATTGATAACCAAGATCTATTTTGTAATAGAATGGGTCTTACTTCGCGAAGTGCATCAGATCACGTGAGCACCTTGATTAAAAGCATGAAAAGATTTGGAAAATATCTGTTGATTACTAAGTTGGCAGTACACATGCTTTGCAAATCCTGCAATCAAACAAAATCTGCACGTCAGATTAGACTATACACAGACTCGTTAGTCCAGCCAAAATATAACTAAAAAATTTCAACCTAATTTGGCAAGGGTGGAAACTGGACTTTTATAGTCAGTTAACTCCCTTGCCTCAGGAAGATGCAGTGTCAGCTATATTTTTGCACTTCACATGGTTTGACCCCATTGGGCTTCCAGCTTAGCATAAGTCCTCGGCAACCTAGGTGATTAATGAACAGGGTGGTCAGACTCGTTGATTGGTTGCTTGCATGTTATCGTACCACAATGTCGTGGATTGTTGCTCATAATATTGCTCACTTAATTGTCTGGACTGGGCTTGAGATATTGCTGAGTGTGGCATTAAACAACAAGCAAGCAAAGAAAATATTATGGTTCAATCATTATTCTTCCATGAGTATGAAAGTTATTTGATTCTGATTGGTTAATCAGAGGTTTCAAGTCACAATAAACCATCTCTGAGCAAAACAGACAATTGACGTCAGCATCACCACTGAAGCTTATATTTATTTATAGAATAGTACTTCTTTTTACCTTAGTGTTAATTGGGGACTTTTTTAATAATTATATAGACAATTATAGGTTACAAAATGCAAAGTTGTTTTTACTCCACTATTCAAAGGAAGTGTGGCAACGCATTTTGTGTGGATAACACGATAGAAATCTACAAAGAGAATATATTTCAAGTTTTGGGGACAGCAGAGAGGTTATGCCTGTCATATGTTCATGTGAAGTATTAAAGTGTAAAAGACTGAACATATTTTGTTTAAAAGCTGTTATTCAGATCGACAACCCACTCAAGACATTGGCCTCAACCCATGCCGCTTCAATCAATATATTTGCTGACACCAAAGAGTTCGCATTTTATTTAGTTATGGTAGAAAGGAGATAAACTTGTTGTGTTTTCAATGTAGGGCTAGGTTACCTGTAGATTTAACTGCACTAAATTTGACATTTGAAACCTTGCACTGTGCATGCAGTTCCATTTTCAATTTAGTATGGTTAACTCTACTGATAAACTGGCTCTACTTTAAAAACACAGGGTTAGGGTTAGAGTATAGTTATCTTCTTACTAAGCATACAGAGGATACTTTATATTGAAATCTTTGCACACAAATCAGTAAGAAGGCCATAAAAAAGGAGAATATTAGCATGGTGAGAAACTCCTCCCATCAACAGTTTTAGAAGCATTCTTATAAACTTAATGGTAATGGTTTATCAAGACGGTATTTGTTGATGGAATTTCGTTGTGCTGTGTACCCTTACCATCTGATATCTGGTCTGTTTCCAGGTGGTTCAAGCGGAAACACGCCAAGGTGGAGGATCGCGTGTTTTTATCTGCGTCTTCGGATGGCGACTTAATGAGGAGTATGACTGTGGTGCCATATTTAGAGGATCTCCACTTCGGTACACCAAGTGAGGAAGAAGAGGAGGAAGAACTGGAGAGCGCTGTCACTGTGGCAGGCAATCATCAAGGTCAAGGTCAGTACAGCCAACTTGAAACAGCTCATTAAGGCTAAAAAAATAAAAGTCTTGGTTCTCAGGCACCGCCCGCATCATCAAGTTTGCTGTATGATTCGTTTTATGTCCATTTGAAACAAAAACAAAAAAATCCTTAAATATTCCAAGTCCAACAGTAGTCAAATACTGTATTCCACTATTTTACTCATCAACAAATACATTTATGAAGGGAGCCCTTTCCAAGATTGATTGTACACAATTGTTTATTTTGTTACACAACCGTTACTTGGTTACATATCAGTTTGGTTAACAAAAAAAACAAAAAAACACTGCCCGCCTGCACTATATTTTCAAATACCATTGCCTGAGAACCAATTCTTTTATTTTTTAAGCCTAATAATGGCAATATGATTGCAGGTTGAGATAACTGAAAACAAATATAAAAACTTTATGGCTGTTTAGATATCAAGAGTTATCTTCTATATCTATCTGATAAGTGATAACGATTAGTTTTATTTTATGTAGCAGCTGTTTGTTTTTTACAAACATGATGTAAAACCTCCATTTATGGAGATCACCACTGGGTCGGACTTCAAATATTGCTGATGTATTGAAATAAGACACTTTCGGGGGCCCGATCATTTCAGGTGCCACAACTGGCTATGCAGAGTTGCATCATTTACAGGTGTGCAAGAAACCTTTAATTGTGGGTTTGAATCCCAGATTCACCCAGATTAAGTTTCTAGGTTTGTCAGCACCCTACCCCTGCTCGTGTGTTTTAGAAAGTGGTAAGCGTCTTTGATTTCTATTAGCCCCCTAACTTGAATAATAATGCTTGGGTGTAGAACTGTAAATGAGGCTATGAAATATGAGTTAATATTATTCGTATGTGAACAGGGTTGCTGCAACTTCTATGCTTCACAGTTAACATGCTATGATGTTTATAATGCTGTTGTTACTCACATTTTGCATTCTTTCAAAATGTGGAGATTTTCAGTGATATTATGTAACAGCTTGTTTAACTTGTCTTGAGCATGTTGAGATTGAGAAAATGAGGTCACTTTTCACCTCGTAATTTCTGGCAGCCTATTCAGGAAACTGTCACACCCTTGAAGATCCGGGATAGACTAGGTCTTCAGAACCCATGCTTGCCGTAAAAGGCGACTATGCTTGTTGTAAGAAGCGACTAACGGGATCGGGTGGTCAGTCTCGCTGACTAGGTTGATGCATGTCATCGTATCCCAATTGCATAGATCAATGCTCATGATATCAATCACTGGATTGTCTGGTCCAGATTTTATTATTTAGATACCGCTTTCATGTAGCAAGAATATTGCTGAATGCAGCGTTAAACAACAAACAAACAAAACAAATTCTCATACGAAGTCAAACCTGTCCCTCACTAACATTGTGTCATGTCTTGTCTATGCAGGGGCACTGAATGACAAGCAGGATATGGCAACAAGACAGACAGAGAACTCCAAGTCCAACTCTAAGCCAAAGAAAAGAAAAGGGAAGAGCTCTAGTAAATTTGCATTCGGATCCTGCAAGCAGTCGTGACATCAGCTGTCTTTCTGGGCTGCTTCTGTTAACTGCTTCTGTGACTTTGTGTAGCATTGCTCAGCTCCAACTGCTGATCAGTGCATCAATGCTAGCAGTGTAGACTGAGTCAATGTTCAGTCCTAACATCTGCCTTTACATCAATGCTAGCAGGATAGATCGAGCACAGTTCCAAATTCTCCCTTAAACATCAGTGCTAGCAGGACAGACTGAATCCGTGTTCAGTCCCAGAATGTAGCACTGTAGACTGAACTGGAATAGGTCCCAAGACCTAGCTTTGACACCCATGCCAGCAGAATAGACTGAACACAGTCCTAACATTTCCTTGTCAGTACAAGAAGGATCAACAGAATGATTGTCTGACTTCTGCATCAATGTCAGGATGATAACTGAGACGATGACGCCAGCAGGATAGACTAAATTTGGTGTAAATCAGGAGGGCTGAACATTGTCATTGCTAGCATTATTGTAGGAAGAAAATACTTAGGGCAATGTGAATTAAAATCTTAAATATATACTTATATCAAATCAAAAGATTTGACCACTAGTACATTTTAGTCTGCATATGTCAAAGTTGACATTCATGTAATGTTGCCCCGTGGACCCAGTACGTGTGTGTGTGAGCGAGAGAGAAAGAGAGACAGATGGAGAAATAGATGGAGAGAAAGAGAGTGAACATATCAGGATGATTATATGGTATGTGATAGACAGGACTGAGGCTGAATCTGTCTCTGGACCCACCATGTTATTGTGGAGAGGACTTTTGTGATGATCAATGCTTGTAAGTCAATAAGTGACTGGACTGAATGTGATAAGATACCTCCAAGAATACAGGAGGATGTTGAGGGTAATGTTGGCAAGAACCTCCTCATGGTAATGTCACCAATTTAGGACTACTTGATGACACCCTGGGCTGAATGTGGACTGACCTCTTCCAAGGTCAGGTCGGCAATGTCCCTCATGGTAGAGTTCTGCTGAGCTCACCAAATGCTTCTGTGATGGCATTCTGAGTATTCTGAAAGTTATTCAACCAGACCAGACCAAAAATTCTTGGTAATGTAGCACTTATGTGCAGAGCATCTCTGATAGGTCTTTTAGATCGTCAGAGGCAGTCAGCTGGACTTTGCAGAATTTTTCTTCTCTGATTGAAGAGCCATTAGAGCAGCATGTTCAGGTCACTGAGGCATCAGAGAGACTGAGAAGATTAGGGTGCCATCAGGGCAATATGACAGGGGACATGTTCAGGTCAGGGACATGATCAGGTCAGGGCCATCGTTGGGGGGACAGCCACAGGACCTGTGATGAAGAGATAATGGCATACCTGACTGAAGCTCAGAATCAGAAGCAACAAGCTGGAATAATTTGATGAAGGGAACACAGAAGTTTGTTGTCATTATGTTCTCCTATGTTAACGTTAAGGACAAAAGACTGGGAAATTTTATTTATGGACCAGTCTGTTTTATGAATGAAATTATATCATAAATATATTTAAAACAAGTTATTCTGTGTTTTGGTTTTTGGTCTCAGGGAGTGTCTGGGATGACACTATTGCATTTTTAGAAAGTAGTACATAATCTGTAATAAAGATACAACATACACATACCTAATAATCTTAATGGAAGACATCGATCAAATTATCTGCTCAATGCAGTCTCCAGGCAGTGGACATTGGCGAAGATACAGTGTTGATGATTGATTGAAAAATTGCTAGTTTGTTTGTTTGTTGTTTAATGCCACATTCAGTTATATTCCAGCTATATGACAGTGGTCTGTAAATAATTGAGTCTGGGCGAAGTTTCTGTAAACCCCAAAGTTAAACACACTGGAATTTAATGTAACACAAATATCAAAATAGCACAAGGACAAGATGAAACCTGAACAATTTGAGATTTATGCCACAACAAAGTAATTTCTTGGAGAACTGTGGTCCCTTTTATCAACAATATCTTCCTTATGTTTATCTGTAAAAAATGGAGAGGAGACAAAAATGGCCCACTCTTAAATCACCGCAATCTCCTGTGCAGAGTTGTGCCCCTTTGGCGCCCCAGAAACCTATTATCTTGGGTTCACATCCCAGATTCGCCTGAATCATGTTTCTGGTTTGTCACTACCATATCAGGGCATGCATTTCAACATGGTAAACCATTTTTCTTGAACATCAAGCTCACACGCCATGATACTACTGGAAAACATTCAAAGCAAACTAGCTGCGCCCACCCGGCAGACAGCAGACGAGAAATATTTACATAAGAGAAAAGTTTAAAAATAATTAATTCTTAAATTATTACTGCTGTCATATTTACTTTTGGGGAACACCGTAAGAATACATACTTTGTTGCGTGGCTTTGGTAAAATATATTATTTGCTATTATACCCAGCAAGCATTCAGACATTGGGCCAACGGTGCCTCTTAGGCTGGCCAAACGTTGTTTTGACGTCGGCCCAACGTCTGTTGAATTTGGGCAAAGAAACGTCTTTTTTTTTTTACTCAATACCTCCCTGGCTGCCTTAATATTTCACAAACCAACATGTAAGCACGACGGGTCACACACAAGCATTCCTCTCCTTCAGCATTTCTGGTGTCCCCCGCCGTGATATTGCTTGAATATTGCTAAAAGCGGCGTAAAACCATACTCACTCACTCTCCTTCAGTGTTTTACTGTTACAACATACTGTGACATGACGTCAAACACCAAGTGAACTGCGAATCAACACAGGCGGCCTTGACGCGGAGCTTTATTAATACGGATTTCATATTACTTTGGACCCGCGAAGATCCGGGATAGATCAGGTCTTCAGCAACCCATGTTTGCTGTAAAAAGACAATGTGCTTGTCCTAAGAGGCGACTAACGGGATCGGGTGGTCAGACTCGCTGACTTGGTTGATGCATGTCATCGTATCCCAATTGCGTGGGACCGCCTCCGTGGTCTAGTGGTAGTGCGTCCGCCCGGAGAGCGGAGGGTCCGGGGTTCGGTCCCCGGCCGCGTCATACCAAAAGACGTAAAAAGATGGTACTTGTTGGCTAAACAAGGACTGGTCGGCTCGGAGTCAGTATACTGTGTCTGAGTGGGGTATTCATGTTGAACTGCGGCATGGTATCTCAGTGAGCTAGCACTATAAATCGGCATCAGTCCGGACTAGTACAAGCACCTACCCACACACACGTGCATGCACGTCGTTATATAAGTGCAATAATCTCACCTCACCAATTGCGTGGATCGATGCTCATGATGTCAAGTCACTAGATTGTCTGGTCCAGACTCGATTAGTTACAGACCGCCGTCATGTAGCTGGAATATTGCTCAGTGCGGCGTTAAACAACAAACAAACAAATCATATTTCTTTGTTGTAAACAAGTTAAAACAATAATCACCATGTCGAGTTTTCCTGGTATAAGCAGGAAGTTATGTCCGAAGCACGCCTCGGCTGACCGCAGTAATTCATAAGATGTTACGCATAGATTCCATTGAGATGTCTTTAATCGACACGTAAAAGTCATGAATTAAAAAAGATTAAAACAACTGATGGTGTTGCTATTCATGGTGAGTAAGCTTGGATGTGTGGTTTCATACACGGACATTTCACGCAAAGATGCCATTGACACGACTGTGTCGTAAATAACTGATATTGTTTGTATTCATGGTTAATAAGCATGAATATGTGGTTTCGTTTATACTAAGGGAAAAAGGTAACTGCGTTATATAAAGTTGTGTAAATGTTATGTTTATGAAAATAATATAATATTCGTTCATTCGTCTGATCAATGTTTTATCATTACAAATTCATTGACGAAACCCTCACCTGGTAGATGGAGACAGAGCGACAACCCCAAAAGAGAAGTGGTGTAGCAACTCAATTAACAATGTCAATATCGGATGTGACCACCACTTGCGTTGAAACAGTCGAGGCAGCGGCAGCTCATTGAAGACACCAAATGTTTGAAAGCAGCCTGTGGGGTGTTGTTCCAAAAGCCAACCGAAGATTGGCCCAAATGATCTGGCATTACCAGCAGGTTCCGGTCCTGTCGTAGGCAGCGACCCATCTCATCCCAAGACAGGTTCTGTTGGGGATTCCGTAGATGCACCAACCGAATATGGTTGTCTTGTTGGACGACCGGACCGTGGCATGTCATGGATGTTGCCCTGCTGTAGATAGCGTCTCCAAAAGATTATGTTATGTTTCGATGTATATTAAATGTCTGACAATTTCGTTTTGAGCCATTCCTGTTTGCAGCATATCCACTGCACGTATACATTAATTTCAGCAAGTCGTGGCACTGCGGAAGCGTTATTTATGGTTGAACAAAAGTGTTGTAATGAGCACCTGAAAACTAAACAATAATTGTATGCTGTTCACATTCAGAAAAAAACAGGTGTGTGAGTATCATGCTCCCAACAAACACGAGCAAACATCCGTGCATGAACATGCACATGCAAATTGTGAATCGAAGAGTCGAAGTGATGAATATGTTTTGTAAGGTTATTTAATTTCAGAATATATTTATTTTTATTGAACTTTATCTAAAGCACAGTCACGTTCTTCCATTGGTGTACACGATTTAGACATGGGGAAAACAAGGTGTTCGAAACACCCTTCGAAGGGTTTAAAAGTCATTAATTAAATGTGCGATATTTGAACCTGGTTTCACAAGAGACAAGTCGTCACGGCCCGTGAAGATTCGGGGTAGAATTGCTCTTCAGCAACCCATGCTTGCCGTGAAAGGCGACTATGCTTGTCGTAAGAGGCGACTAACGGGATCGGGTGGTCAGGCTCGCTGACTTGGTTGATGCATGTCATCATATCCCAATTGCGTGGATCGATGCTCATGACATCAATCACTGGATTGTCTGGTCCAGATTCGATTACTTGCAGACCGGCGTCCTATAGCTGGAATATTGCTAAGTGCGGCGTAAAACAACAAACCAACCAACAGGTCGTCACTCATCCCGCATAACGTAATTGTCTTCAAGACCCTACACGCGAAGCAAATCGCAATGTGTTTCCATGCCTACTTTTTTCCGTATAACCCACAAAGGTTAATGTACGCCGATGCCTTTGTCAGCTGTTTATTTGAAAAAAACAAATACCTTATAAAAACAATAAGATGCCTCGCGCCTCAGATGTTTCAAATATTTAGATTCAGGTTTTCAGATAGGCGATCGGGTAGCCTAGTGGATAAAGCGTTCGCTCGTCACGCCGAAGACCCGGGTTCGATTCCCGACATGGGTACAATGTGTGAAGCCAAGTTCTGGGGTCAGGAGGTCAGGTAAAGAGACATGTAACTAGAAGGTCAGATAACCAAACATGTAACAAGAAGGTCAGGTAACCAGACATGTAACAAGAAGGTCAGGTAACCAGACATGTAACAAGAAGGGCAGGTAACCAGACATGTAACTAGGAAGTCAGGTAACCAGACATGTCACTAGGAGGTCAGATAACCAGACATGTAACAAGAAGGTCAGGTGACCAGACATGTCACTAGGAAGTCAGATAACCAGACATGTAACAAGGAGGTCAGGTAACCAGACATGTAACTAGGAGGTCAGGTGACCAGACATGTCACGATGAGGTCAGATAACCAGACATGTAACAAGGAGGTCAGGTAACCAGACATGTAACAAGAAGGTCAGGTGACCAGACATGTCACGATGAGGTCAGATAACCAGACATGTAACAAGGAGGTCAGATAACCAGACATGTAACAAGAAGGTCAGGTAACCAGACATGTAACTAGGAGGTCAGGTGACCAGACATGTCACGATGAGGTCAGATAACCAGACATGTAACAAGGAGGTCAGGTAACCAGACATGTAACAAGAAGGGCAGGTAACCAGACATGTAACTAGGAAGTCAGGTAACCAGACATGTCACTAGGAGGTCAGATAACCAGACATGTAACAAGAAGGTCAGGTGACCAGACATGTCACTAGGAAGTCAGATAACCAGACATGTAACACTAGGAAGTCAGATAACCAGACATGTCACTAGGAAGTCAGATAACCAGACATGTCACTTGGAGGCCAGATAACCAGACATGTAACACTAGGAGGTCAGATAACCAGACATGTCACTAGAAAGTCAGATAACCAGACATGTAACAAGGAGGTCAGATAACCAGACATGTAACACTAGGAGGTCAGATAACCAGACATGTAACACTAGGAAGTCAGATAACCAGACATGTCACTAGGAGGTCAGATAACCAGACATGTCACTAGGAAGTCAGATAACCAGACATGTCACTAGGAAGTCAGATAACCAGACATGTAACACTAGGAGGTCAGATAACCAGACATGTAACAAGGAGGTCAGATAACCAGACATGTAACACTAGGAGGTCAGATAACCAGATATGTCACTTGGAGGCCAGATAACCAGACACGTCAAAAGGAAATCAGATAACCAGACATGTCACTAGGAAGTCAGATAACCAGACATGTAACACTAGGAGGTCAGATAACCAGACATGTCACTTGGTGGCCAGATAACCAGATATGTCACAAGGAGGTCAGATAACCAGACGTGTAACAAGGAGGTCAGATAACCAGATATCTAACTAGGAGGTCAGATAACTAGACACGTGCAAGGAGGTCAGATATCGAGATATCTAACTAGGAGGTCAGATAACCAGACACGTCACAAGGAGGTCAGATAACCAGACATGTCACTACGAAGTCAGATAACCAGACATGTAACACTAGGAGGTCAGATAACCAGACATGTAACAAGGAGGTCAGATAACCAGACATGTAACACTAGGAGGTCAGATAACCAGACATGTAACACTAGGAGGTCAGATAACCAGACGTGTCATAAGGAGGTCAGATAACCAGATATCTAACTAGGAGGTCAGATAACCAGACTATTAACTAGGAGGTCAGATAACCAGACACGTCACAAGAAGGTCAGATAACCAGACACGTCACAAGGAGGTCAGATAACCAGATATCTAACTAGGAGGTCAGATAACCAGACATGTCACAATGAGGTCAGATAACCAGACACGTCACTATGAGGTCAGGTAAGCAGACATGTCACTTGCAGGCCAGGTAAGCAGACATGTAACAAGGAGGTCAGGTAAGCAGACATCTCACAAGGAGGCATGTCACTAGGTCAGATAACCAGACATGTGACTAGGTCAGATAACCAGACATGTCACCAAGAGGTCAGGTGACCAGACACGTCACTTGCAGGCCAGGTAAGCAGACATGTAACAAGGAGGTCAGGTAAGCAGACATGTCACCAAGAAGTCAGGTGACCAGACATGCGATAAGGAGGCCAGATTACCAGACATGTCACTAGGTCAGATAACCAGACATGTCCCTAAGAGGTCAGGTGACCAGACATGCGATTAGGAGGACAGAGAACTACTGGGAACTTATTTGATAATTAGACATGAAACTAGGTAGCGTAATCAGGCATGTAATGAGACGGGAAAGTATTTGGTAATTACACATCTAACTAAGATTCCAGGGTAATAGCGAACAAAACTGCAAGGCGTAAGCCGCGATGACCCGATGGCGAGATGGCGGAAGAAACCACGAAAAGCTTTGCACAAGTCGCGGTGACGAAGACGTCCTGTTCTTTGAGTTTGGACATCACTGCACCTTGCTGGCGAATGACGCGTTTTGAGCCGGGAAGATCCACGCCGGGGAGAACACGCAGATCGATAATGGTTCATTGGGGAACCCATGGACATAAAGATATTGATTTCGGGAAAGCAGCAACTCATTTAACCAACTCCAACATGCTGAGATGTCGACAAATGGCCAAGCAGTTGCAGGAAACTGGTGGGTGTGTGTGTCCGACGCTGTCAAAACGACATCTGTCTTTGCTAGTATTGTTCCATATCTAGAACATTGAGGAAACCTGCCCTTCAAAAGATAGTGTGAGCGTTAAATGACTGATATGGAAATGAGCGAGCAGATAACACAAATATTCATGCTGAATGGGATGATACTGTAACAGCATAAGGTCATTGTGACTCCTTGTGTAGTTGTGGATTGAATACTACACAGGCAGACCTAAGGCACGTCCCGCCTCCAGCATCTTGAGGGTGAGAAAGGAGAAATCTGGAGGCAGCATGGTCGGAGATGAAGATGGAGACAGTGCAGAGGTGGGTAGTAGCATGTTCAGTGATACTCGTGGCTGTAGTAAGATGAGAGATGAAGAAGGCAGTGTAGAGGAAGGGGCTCAGTGTAAAGGCAAAGTTTCGGTGTAGGGGAAGGTAGTGTCAGTGTAGGGGAGGGTGGTGTCAGTGTAGGGGAAGGATGGTCTCAGTGTAGGGGAGGGTGGTGTCAGTGTTTGGAGGGTGGTGTCAGTGTAGGGGAAGGTGGTGTCAGTGTACGCGAGGATGGTGTCAGTGTAGGGGAAGGTGGTGTCGATGTAGGGGAGGATGGTGTCAGTGTAGGAGAGGGTGGTGTCAGTGTAGGGGAGGATGGTGTCAGTGTAGGGGAGGGTGGTGTCAGTGTTTGGAGGGTGGTGTCTGTGTAGGGGAGGGTGGTGTCTGTGTAGGGGAGGGTGGTGTCTGTGTAGGGGAGGGTGGTGTCTGTGTAGGGGAGGGTGGGGTTAGTGTAGGGGAAGGTGGTGTATGTGTAGGGGAGGGTGGTGTCTGTGTAGGGGAGGGTGGTGTCTGTGTAGGGGAGGGTGGTGTCAGTGTAGGGGAGGGTGGTGTCTGTGTAGGGGAGGGTGGTGTCTGTGTAGGGGAAGGTGGTGTCAGTGTAGGGGAGGGTGGTGTCTGTGTAGGGGAGGGTGGTGTCTGTGTAGGGGAGGATGGTGTCTGTGTAGGGGAGGGTGGTGTCAGTGTAGGGGAAGGTGGTGTCAGTGTAGGGGAGGGTGGTGTCTGTGTAGGGGAGGGTGGTGTCAGTGTAGGGGAGGGTGGTGTTAGTGTAGGGGAGGGTGGTGTCAGTGTAGGGGAGGGTGGTGTCAGTGTAGGGGCGGGGGGTGTCAGTGTAGGGGGGAGTGGTGTCAGTGTAGGGGAGCATGGTGTCAGTGTACAGGAGGATGGTGTCAGTGTACAGGAGGAAGGTGTCAGTGTACGGGGGGATGGTGTCATTGTAGGGGAGGGTGGTGTCGGTGTACAGGAGGATGGTGTTAGTATAGGGGAGGGTAATGTCAGTGTTGGGGAGGGTTGTTTCAGTGTAAGGGGGGGGGGGGGTGGGATGGGGTACTGTCAGTGTAGGGGGGAGTTGTGTAGGATGGTAGGAGTGTAGGATGGTGTCTGTGTAGGGGAGGGTGGTGTCTGTGTAGGGGAGGATGGTGTCTGTGTAGGGGAGGGTGGTGTCAGTGTAGGGGAGGGTGGTGTCAGTGTAGGGGAGGGTGGTGTCTGTGTAGGGGAGGGTGGTGTCAGTGTAGGGGAGGATAGTGTCAGTGTACAGGAGGATTGTATTAGTGTAGGGGAGGATGGTGTCAGTGTGCAGGAGGGTGGTGTCAGTGTAGGGGAGGGTGGTGTCAGTGTAGGGGCGGGGGGTGTCAGTGTAGGGGGGAGTGGTGTCAGTGTAGGGGAGGATGGTGTCAGTGTGGGGGAGGATGGTGTCAGTGTACAGGAGGAAGGTGTCAGTGTACGGGGGGATGGTGTCAGTGTAGGGGAGGGTGATGTCGGTGTACAGGAGGATGGTGTTAGTATAGGGGAGGGTAATGTCAGTGTTGGGGAGGGTTGTTTCAGTGTAAGGAGGGGGGGGGGGGGGGATGGGGTACTGTCAGTGTAGGGGGGAGTTGTGTCAGTGTAGGGGAGGGCGGTGTCATTGTAAAGGAGGATGGTGTCATTGTAGGAGAGGGTGGTGTCAGTGTACGGGGGGATGGTGTCAGTGTAGGTGAGGATGGTGTCGGTGTACAGGAGGATGGTGTCATTGTAGGAGAGGGTGGTGTCAGTGTAGGGGAGGCTGGTGTCAGTGTGCAGGAGGCTGGTGTCAGTGTAGGAGAGGCTGGTGTCAGTGTGCAGGAGGCTGGTGTCAGTGTAGGAGAGGGTGGTGTCAGTGTGCAGGAGGCTGGTGTCATTGTAGGAGAGGGTGGTGTCAGTGTAGGGGAGGATGGTGTCAGTGTAGGAGAGGGTGGTGTCAGTGTAGGGGAGGATGGTGTCAGTGTAGGGGAGGGTGGTGTCAGTGTGCAGGAGGCTGGTGTCATTGTACAGGAGGGTGGTGTCAGTGTGCAGGAGGATGGTGTCAGTGTAGGAGAGGGTGTAGTCAGTGTGCAGGAGGCTGGTGTCAGTGTAGGAGAGGGTGGTGTCAGTGTAGGAGAGGGTGGTGTCAGTGTGCAGGAGGCTGGTGTCATTGTAGGAGAGGGTGGTGTCAGTGTGCAGGAGGATGGTGTCAGTGTAGGAGAGGGTGGTGTCAGTGTGCAGGAGGATGGTGTCAGTGTAGGAGAGGGTGGTGTCAGTGTAGGAGAGGGTGGTGTCAGTGTGCAGGAGGCTGGTGTCAGTGTAGGAGAGGGTGGTGTCAGTGTAGGAGAGGGTGGTGTCAGTGTAGGGGAGGGTGGTGTCAGTGTGCAGGAGGCTGGTGTCATTGTAGGAGAGGGTGGTGTCAGTGTGCAGGAGGATGGTGTCAGTGTAGGAGAGGGTGGTGTCAGTGTGCAGGAGGATGGTGTCAGTGTAGGAGAGGGTGGTGTCAGTGTGCAGGAGGATGGTGTCAGTGTAGGGGAGGATGGTGTCAGTGTAGGGGAGGGTGGTGTCAGTGTGCAGGAGGCTGGTGTCATTGTAGGAGAGGGTGGTGTCAGTGTGCAGGAGGCTGGTGTCATTGTAGGAGAGGGTGGTGTCAGTGTGCAGGAGGATGGTGTCAGTGTAGGAGAGGGTGGTGTCAGTGTGCAGGAGGCTGGTGTCAGTGTACAGGAGGATGGTGTCAGTGAAGGAGAGGGTGGTGTCAGTGTAGGGGAGGATGGTGTCAGTGTAGGGGAGGGTGGTGTCAGTGTGCAGGAGGCTGCTGTCATTGTAGGAGAGGGTGGTGTCAGTGTGCAGGAGGCTGGTGTCAGTGTAGGAGAGGGTGGTGTCAGTGTAGGAGAGGGTGGTGTCAGTGTGCAGGAGGCTGGTGTCAGTGTACATGAGGCTGGTGTCAGTGTACAGGAGGGTGGTGTCAGTGTGCAGGAGGCTGGTGTCAGTGTACAGGAGGCTGGTGTCAGTGTAGGAGAGGGTGGTGTCAGTGTGCAGGAGGCTGGTGTCAGTGTACAGGAGGCTGGTGTCAGTGTACAGGAGGGTGGTGTCAGTGTGCAGGAGGCTGGTGTCAGTGTACAGGAGGCTGGTGTCAGTGTGCAGGAGGGTGGTGTCAGTGTACAGGAGGGTGGTGTCAGTGTGCAGGAGGCTGGTGTCAGTGTACAGGAGGGTGGTATCAGTGTGCAGGAGGCTGGTGTCAGTGTACAGGAGGGTGGTGTCAGTGTACATGAGGGTGGTGTCAGTGTGCAGGAGGCTGGTGTCAGTGTACAGGAGGGTGGTGTCAGTGTACAGGAGGGTGGTGTCAGTGTGCAGGAGGCTGGTGTCAGTGTACAGGAGGGTGGTGTCAGTGTAGGAGAGGGTGGTGTCAGTGTGCAGGAGGCTGGTGTCAGTGTACAGGAGGCTGGTGTCAGTGTACAGGAGGGTGGTGTCAGTGTGCAGGAGGCTGGTGTCAGTGTACAGGAGGCTGGTGTCAATGTGCAGGAGGCTGGTGTCAGTGTACAGGAGGGTGGTGTCAGTGTGCAGGAGGCTGGTGTCAGTGTACAGGAGGGTGGTGTCAGTGTGCAGGAGGATGGTGTCAGTGTAGGAGAGGATGGTGTCAGTGTACAGGAGGATGGTGTCAGTGTACAGGAGGATGGTGTCAGTGTGCAGGAGGGTGGTGTCAGTGTACAGGAGGGTGGTGTCAGTGTGCAGGAGGCTGGTGTCAGTGTACAGGAGGGTGGTGTCAGTGTACAGGAGGATGGTGTCAGTGTGCAGGAGGGTGGTGTCAGTGTACAGGAGGGTGGTGTCAGTGTGCAGGAGGCTGGTGTCAGTGTGCAGGAGGGTGGTGTCAGTGTACAGGAGGGTGGTGTCAGTGTGCAGGAGGGTGGTGTCAGTGTACAGGAGGGTGGTGTCAGTGTACAGGAGGGTGGTGTCAGTGTGCAGGAGGGTGGTGTCAGTGTGCAGGAGGCTGGTGTCATTGTAGGAGAGGGTGGTGTCAGTGTGCAGGAGGACGGTGTCAGTGTAGGAGAGGGTGGTGTCAGTGTGCAGGAGGGTGGTGTCAGTGTGCAGGAGGGTGGTGTCAGTGTACAGGAGGGTGGTGTCAGTGTACAGGAGGGTGGTGTCAGTGTGCAGGAGGCTGGTGTCAGTGTGCAGGAGGATGGTGTCAGTGTAGGAGAGGGTGGTGTCAGTGTGCAGGAGGGTGGTGTCAGTGTGCAGGAGGCTGGTGTCAGTGTACAGGAGGGTGGTGTCAGTGTGCAGGAGGCTGGTGTCAGTGTGCAGGAGGGTGGTGTCAGTGTACAGGAGGGTGGTGTCAGTGTACAGGAGGGTGGTGTCAGTGTACAGGAGGGTGGTGTCAGTGTGCAGGAGGATGGTGTCAGTGTAGGGGAGGGTGGTGTCAGTGTGCAGGAGGACGGTGTCAGTGTAGGAGAGGGTGGTGTCAGTGTGCAGGAGGGTGGTGTCAGTGTACAGGAGGGTGGTGTCAGTGTACAGGAGGGTGGTGTCAGTGTGCAGGAGGATGGTGTCAGTGTGCAGGAGGATGGTGTCATTGTAGGAGAGGGTGGTGTCAGTGTGCAGGAGGGTGGTGTCAGTGTGCAGGAGGCTGGTGTCAGTGTACAGGAGGGTGGTGTCAGTGTGCAGGAGGCTGGTGTCAGTGTGCAGGAGGGTGGTGTCAGTGTACAGGAGGGTGGTGTCAGTGTACAGGAGGGTGGTGTCAGTGTACAGGAGGGTGGTGTCAGTGTGCAGGAGGATGGTGTCAGTGTAGGGGAGGGTGGTGTCAGTGTGCAGGAGGATGGTGTCAGTGTAGGAGAGGGTGGTGTCAGTGTGCAGGAGGCTGGTGTCAGTGTAGGAGAGGGTGGTGTCAGTGTAGGAGAGGGTGGTGTCAGTGTGCAGGAGGCTGGTGTCAGTGTACAGGAGGATGGTGTCAGTGTAGGAGAGGGTGGTGTCAGTGTACAGGAGGGTGGTGTCAGTGTACAGGAGGGTGGTGTCAGTGTGCAGGAGGC